CTACCTACGGGTATCTCTTCAAGCTAGCTAGGGGCCCTATCAGCTGGAAGGCTAAGAAAGCAACCACTATAGCCCTATCTACTGTAGAGGCTGAAGCGGATAGCCTTACAGAGGCTCTCAGAGAACTACAGTGGCTAAAAGGGCTCTATAAGGAGCTAAACCAGCCCCTAAAGACCCCTGTAACTATCCACTGTGATAACCAGGGCTGTATAGCTACAAGCAATAACCCTACCCTACACGCTAGAACTAAGCATACACTACTGAAATTCCACTATAATAGGGTTCAAATTACAGAGGGTTTAGCAAGCCTTAGCTACCTGGAAACCAAGGCTATACCCGCTGACGGGCTAACTAAGCCACTAACTGCACCTCTTCAGCAGGCCTTCAGAGACCTACTAGGCCTAAAGGAACACTATAAGGATCTAACTTAGTTATTTCCTTCAGAAGGGGTATTAAGATTTACCCTATAGACTATAGGGTAAGTCAGGTTACCCTATACCAGTTAATCAAATAATATCAGATTAGTATAGGGTAAGGAGGAATAAAATAACTAACTTAGGGCTTTCCAAAGCTGGAAGCCCGCTGGAGCCACCGGCCCAACCCGCTGTGGCTGCCCGTTGGGGCAATTGCGTTAGCAGGTCACAACCGCTGTAACGGCCGCTGTAGCAACTGTATTTAGCGATCTCGTATTACGCTATAGCAGCTGCATTAGCGGTCCTCGTATCCGCTGTAGCGCTTGCATTAGCGGACCTCGTGTCCGCTGTACGAGAACCTTAGCACTTAGTTAGTAAGCCTCGTAACCACTATAGCAGCTGCATTAGCAGTCCTCGTGTCCGCTGTAGCGCTTGCATTAGTGGTCTCGTAATCCTCTATACGAGAACCTTACAGCGGTTACGAGCCCGTATTACAGAAGGCAACGTATTATCTTCAGGGCTCTTAGAGCCCTAAAACACCTATAAGTACAGGGCTTCCTCCCTGCTAGATAGAGGTTCTTCAAGCCACCAATTCACTCTTTTATCTACCCTACAGTCTATCTTCTTAGCTACCCTGTAGCTGATAAAGCCTCTCTTTCTTACTAAGTAGGCTGCTTCTTCCACTACGCCTTTCGAAACGATCCCTTCAGTATTCCTTAGCCTACCCTATAGGCTGTACCTACCCTAGACCCAGCTTACCCTATAAGCTGGTCTACCCTATACTGGAGGCCTTGACCTTTTCAAAAATACTAGTTCTATTTATTATAAACTCTTAAGATCTTTAATAACTTACTATTCTTTATCTATTTAGCTAAATATTAAAATAAATAAAATCTAGAAGTTCTTATAGCTAGTAAGAGTATTAACTATCTTTTAATTCTATAAGCTTAGTATAGTTTTATTATTATACTAGTTTCTAAAATAAGCTTAGAATTATTATCCTATAGTACTATTAAGATATATTTCTATAAATCTAATTTTATCTTTATTTATTATAAGTTTAATTAGAAAGAATTTAAAGTATATTTAAAGTTAGATTTTAAATTCTTCTAGTTTATTAGTATTATCTAAGAAAGATTCTAAAGAGATTAATTATATTATCTTCTCTTTATTTTTTATCTCCTTCTTCTTAAATTATTTAATTTAAACTATAAGCTATTATATAATCTTCTAAGCTATTAGAGCTTATAGAGTATTATTTAGTAGTTTAATAGGAGTTATTTTATTTTTTAATATTATATAGTAATTAAAATAAGATAATTAGCTAAATAAGAGTTATTAATATATAATAATTAGATAATTTATATTAAATAGAGTTTAGAATAGATTAGGATTAAACTAATTAGAGTATTATTCTAAATAGTATAATTAGATTATCTTAGATTATATAATATAAGTTACTATTAATATATAAGTATTATAGAGCTAGTAATAATAAATATATAGATAATTATATTAATAACTATCTAAAAGAATATTCTATCTAATAAAATAAATATATATATATAATAGTTATAGAGTATAAGAAGTATATTATTCCTAGTAATCTATTCTTATTCTATAATAAAAGTATAATACTCCTATTATTTCTATTCTTTAGATAGTAGAGTATATATAACTATATAATCTATTATAGAGGTCTTTATTTATAATATCTATTATACTCTCTAGTTTAATAAGTTTTCTATTTACTTCTAGATTAGTTCTATACTAATTCTATAATAGATCTCTAGTTTAAGTCCTATTATAAGTATTATAGCTTTAAGACCCTCTATTTAAAGATAAATCTATATCTAGTTCTAATTTCTTCTAATTCTAATCTATATAATATTCTATTAATTATTCCTCTACTAAATATATAACTTACTTATAGATTTATACTATTAATATTACTTCTAGTACTAAGAAATTTAATATATATCTTATATCTCTATTTAGTATTCTTCTATATTAGCTTTTATTCTAATCTAGATTATAATAAGCTTAATAGAATATATTTATTTTAAAGACTATAGTTTACTAATCTAATAAATCTATTTATATTCTTATCTCTAATAGTACTTAGAATTATACTAATACTATTACCTTTAGTAGCTATATTAATTCTACTCTAGTTTTATCCCAGGCTCTATATAATAATAAGACTACTATTACTATTCTAAAGACTAAAGATAAGAAGAATTATTAATAGATAACTACTTTTAGTACTTAGTTAGATATACTTAATTAAAATATTCTTAATTAGAACTAGCTCTTATATAAACTCCTAGTCCTTATAGCTATAGCTATATTAGAATTAGTTTAGTTTATTCTTAATATTCTTATAAAGATATCTCTTTCTAATAGAGTATTTAATAAGAGTAAGATTAAGAATAGTAGTTCTAGTAAGTTTAAGAAGTATATTCCTAGTAGAGCTATTACTAGCTATAATACTAATATATCTAAAGAGTTTTAGATTAGTTTTTATTCTAGATCTATTCTAAGTTCTAATTAGTTTTATAGTTTAAAGTCTTTAGTTTATATACTTAATACTAATATTCTATTCTTCTTTACTATTTTTATTCTTTTTTATACTTATTTAATTATATATAATAATTTTATTATTATTTATATTAGCTAGATCTAGATATTATTTAATATATTTTCTATTTATATATAGATCAGGTTCTATCTAGGATCTCTATATATTCCTCCTAGTATATCTAGCTTCTTAGTAAGTTTATATTATTCTAATATTCTAAGATCTAAAATCTATTTTATATTTTTTTATATACTTTATTTTTAGTCTATTATAATATTAAGATTATATTAGTAGTAAATATATTAAATAGTTTACTCTAAGACTTAGATATTATTAAAAATTTAAAGATCTTATATAATTAATATATTACTATATCTTTAATTATAAAAATAAAACTTAATTCTACTAATAAGCTTATCTAAATAAATAGTTTAAAACTCTTTTTTAAATTCCTATTATTAGAACTAGTACTTTAGTATATATAGATTAATTAATTAAAGTTTTTATATAATAAAGAGCTAATTTACTTTAGTTAGTATTTTATTATATTAAGTATTATTTTTAAAGAGATCTTTAATCTTATTATATAAATAGGAGAGGGAATTCTACTAAGAAAGCCTAAGAGATAAAATATAGATCTTAAGAATTAAAATTCTAATATTACTAATACTCTTTAAGTAAAAGAATTAGTTAATAATAGAGAGAATTTTAAAATTTATCTTTTCCTAATAAAAGAGAGAAATAATTTTATCTTATATAATACTAAGATCTTTCTTTAGAGGAGATATTATTATAAAATTATTAATTAAATAATTTTAGTATTATAAACAGGGAAATCTGAAATTATAAAAATTAATTTTAACCAGTTATCGGGTACTCGGATACGTACGACCCTAGTATGGTGCCAAATCGCCCCAACCTTTTCCAGCTGGTGGGAAGTTCAGTGTGAGATGTTTATCTTCTGGATTGCCCCACAAACCTTGTATCACACCGTATTCTTCAGACCTCGGCCGTAGTACCTAACCGCTCCGTCACGATCAGCCCGACGTTTGGACGCAGTGGTAAAACAGCTTGCGCGTATAGCAGTGTGATTCGTCTATATTTCATCATAGACTAGTACTGATAATCATACGTCCCCTAATTACGGTTCAAAAGATCCTACGATACCTCTATCCTGGAGTAGGGAAAATATAAAGTTTCTTCTGAAATTTGTTTTCTATCCGAACGAGGCCACAAACTTCGCCTCCAGATCAACTTCGGTAAGTAATCTAGGCCCAAGTAGTTCGTTATCTACTTGACCATAGAAGGCTTGAAACCTGCCACTGAGCAAAGCAGCCCTTACAAACTTATCAACCTTCCCGGGCTCGGGATTCTGTTTGGCTATCTTATCTAGCCTCTCTATCACTTTAGAGGAGTTTTCAATAGTTTTAATCTTCCAGCTCGTGCCAGGCGAGTATTTCTGAGCGAGGGCCAGTAGCTGAGACTGCGTAACGGCAAGCTCATATACGTGGAGAACGCGGTTCTTTGTTACGGCCGGGTCTTTTAAGGCAGCTGCGATGGATTTAGCAGAGCCTGCCAAAGATGTTGTGCTGACACGATGATCGCCATCTTACCAAATTTCGGCACTCTTGTTCTGTCAGTCGAGGACGATATCAAAGTTGACGAGGAATTCAGTGAAGGCACCAATGCTGAAAACTGTCCACTCAACGAGGTCTTCATCAGATTCCAGGTAGTTTTGGATCTCGACGAGCTGGACATTGTGGAGTAAATGTGCTGCACTTGGGCCGGCCGATATGCTGCCAAAGTCTGATGGGATAAAGCACTTGACCTCGCTTTGATTGCGGCGTCTATTATCAATTTCTGCTGAGGAACAGCCATCTGATTCACCGTAGATATAACAACATCCTGGCCATTTAAAGCAGCAACTAGGCTGTTCAACAAGTTTTAGTCCACTATTTTGAAGTCTATATTAGGTGATAGGGCCTCATCATTCCGTGGGATCGGCCTATGATAGCCATCTAAACCCTGCTTCAGCAAGTGTTGAAAGCACAATGGACCCCAAACGGCCCTTCTAAACGAATAAAGGAGAGTCAGTTAGTCAAAATCGAAGGGCCAATATTCGTCGAAAAAGGCACTTACGCCGCTACATGTGGTGGGGAGTTGGCGCGATCTTGATTGATAGGTTTATGCGCGGAACATGGCTAGTTAGGGATTTTAATTTCAATGTCTTCCAGAGGCAAATATTAGGGGACTACAGATGTTGAATTCATTAGTCTCTCTGACAAAATTATGGGAAGCCAATTGCTCCGGTGCTCGGTCGAACTTCACGTTTTCTTCACCGCAAATCCCATTACCGGGCTTGGTGCTAATCTCCGCCGCCTTATGGATCATGCAGTTAGACCTTATGAATACATGGCTATAACCTCCCCCAATGCAGGTCTAAGCTCCTCTATCGTCTCCTGCCACAGACGCTCGCTCAGTTCCTGACCCTCGCTGATATACAGCAGCCTAGGATACGGCTTGATCTCCCAGTCGCTGATAAAGCTGCCATGCCCTTTCTTGCCCTCATCCAACAGCGCGTGGACATACACACTTGCGCCGGACTGGACACTCCGCCCTAGAGCCTTGACAAACAGCGGAACTAAATACTTCTCAGCAAACCCAGGGTTCGGACTCCCATTTCTTCCCAGACCTGTTCCAGCGACCATGCCCGGATTACAAACATTAATGATCACATCGTCCGGGTCGATTTGCTGCGCCAGTCGATTAATGAAAATCATCAGCAGCAGCTTTGAATCCATGTATTGTGTCATTCTCTCGTACGAATCCGGGTTGTCCATACGGGGAAATACGAGCCCAGCGGAGGAGAACTTGCTGAAATACATGGTGTCGGAACCGACAATGCTAAGAACTGGCGGTTTCACATTGGCGCCGGTATAAGTCATGTCCTTCAGTATTGGCGCAAGCAGCATGCATAGAAGGACAGTGGAGATGTAGTTGACCTGGAAGACCAGCTCGTGGCCAGTCTTCTCGTGGTGCTCGAAATTGCTGCTCTGCATCGCAGCGTTCAGGATGGTGTAGTCAACGCGACCTAGGCCCTGGTATCGTTTGGTAAAAGCCTGAATGGAGTCATAGTCGGCCATATCTAGAAGCCAAACTTGAATATCGACATCAGGAAACTCCTTGCGCAGCATCTCAGCAGCGCCATCGCCAGAGGCTTGTGAGCGGACAGCTATGATTAGACGTGATAAGCCGTGCTGCAAAAGTTGCCTGGACGCTTCCAAGCCAAGTCCGCCGTTGGAGCCGGTAACGACGGCAGTCTGTCCATTGAGTGATATTTGATTAGTTAGAGGCTTTCTGGAGACGAAAAGCTGCCTGTAGAGTATGCCCAGCATGCTGCTCTCCCATGAGAGATCTTTCTCGAGCTGGGCGGACATGATCCCTATCTAGTGGTGCGGAAACAAAAAGTTGTACGTTGGAAGTTGTTTATCAATTCGCTTCTAGATGTACAGCTTCCGAATATGTGCCAGTGAGACATAATTAATACTTTTACTACTTATACCAGAGAGTGACACTCTATGCTTGCCAGTGTACACTGATGAGCCTATGAGTGAGGCCGGGAGTGGAATGCCGAGGGAGCGGAGTTAGGGGTCGTATTTCCAGACGCTGGTGGTATCGGACAATGCTCATACACACCCTAGGGATGTGTGTCCGCTGTGGTTCTTCACCGCGGCCACAATGTACCTCAGATGATCTTATGGATCCGGCGACTTCGTCCAATGGCCGGTCGTAGACTTAGTTTTAGTCCATCGCATACTCTATCTCGGCCTGTTGGAAGATGCGAGTCTCCATCCGCTACTAACATGAAGCACATCAAATTGCCTCAAGAAACATGCAATATGTAAACCACAGTACGGTCGGCAGTTCTAACCAAGCTTACGGTGACATACTTTGAATTTAACATACTGGCGGATGCCAATCAGAAATGAGAACCCATACACTTGAGTCATACCCAGCTTCTTTTTCTGAATCCTGTTTCCAACAATTACCGCCACTGGTGGAGTGCCAGCATCATCTCCGTTTAATACGCATCGTCATCATAGCTACATATATTTTCCCTTGTTCCATGGTCCGAGACGCCGCACCACCGTAAGCCGGAACTAAAGGGCTTGCTATGGCAATAGCGGAGAAGAACAAAACATAGATCTTAAGCCAATCGTCCATATGCCGAAATCAAGCTTTCAAACCTACATAGCGATTCACCATCAACGTCGACAAGGCCATGTCTATTAAATTCATGGTGAAGGCATAACGAAGGCATAATTAACAAGTTGGTCACGACAAGTGCTATAAGAGTTAGACATGACTAGGCGTTGATGTGGCAGGCTAGCCATAATGAAGTATAAGTACTTCGATATATCAGGTTACGAGCCATATCAGTAAGTACCAGTACCTAAGTTTTCTAATGACTTTTCTTTAAACGAACATTGGTCCTGCAAGCAAGCACTTTTTATAGAACAGGGTTACCATATAGTTAAAGGTAATTAGAAAATTATAGCCAAATTGACCCACGCATCTCATAACACTTGCTCTACTCGCGACTTTCCACCTCAGACGTGGTGGTGGATCATTACTAATGAGGCGTGGGAGGGGTTTCTGCCCCTTTTCAGGCAATGTAAATTGGCGCATCTGCGACGGGAAAAGAACGGGTTCGTTCCTCCTTTTCTGCTGTCTACAACGATAAGCACTACCAAAACCATGTCCTCCGCTCCTCGGAGCACGAGCCGTCCCACCGGAATACGCAGAAACAGGGAGCGATTGGCCTGCAAGCCGTGCCGGCAGCGGAAGCTAAAATGTGATCGGAGTATCCCATGTAGCAGCTGTGTACGCAGAAGAGCAGCAGCATGCTGCTCCTACGGGCCATCAAGCGACAATACCGAAAGGATGGATGGCACGGACAACACCAGCAACAACCCAGAGTGGCGTGTTCATGCATATTCACGCCTTGATCAATTGGAAAACCTCGTTGAAACGTTTGTGAGGCAGCGTACTGAGGCCACTGTCACGACGATCGACGACACTCTGCCTACCACACCAACCGAAGACCAAGGCGCCATTGGACTATCCAGTGGCGGGCTTGACGCTCCTAGTCCTTCCCAACTGATCCAAAGCGGCATGACACATTGGTCAGCTGTGCTAGAAGATATACAGGCCTTTAGACGTTGTCAGAGCCAATTCTACTACACCAGCAAAAACGGAGCGCGCTCGCGCTGATTGCTGTGCCTAATTGACTATATAGCCTGTCACTGACACCAACACACCCCTTCTGCTTGGCAACGCTATACAACTGCCAAACAGGTCTTATAGCGGACGATCTTATCCTCATGGAGTTCCGCTAGCTGGCGTCTAGTTGATCAGGCTAGATCTTATACCACTATATTTTTTGCGGTCTCACCCCAGAATCGAACGCAGGGCTCTGTGTGTTTGTTACGTCGCAGGAATTGCTACCATGTCAGAGCCAATTCTACTACACCAGCAAAAACGGAGCGCGCTCGCGCTGATTGCTGTGCCTAATTGACTATATAGCCTGTCACTGACACCAACAGACGTACGTTGATGACATTTGCAGCCGAGAACACGGATGCGATGCTCAGCACTCCTAGAGCAGCAGCCGGGATAGGTGTCATGTTTGGAACTCATGTCTCAAACACGCTGAGCATTGAAGACATCCTTAAGAGGCATCTTCCTTCGCAGAGGGACACGGACCGCCTGGTTTCTATCTATTTTCGAGATCGCTCTGCTGCTGCTCCGTTCATACATGCCTCGCAATTTCAGAGACAATATCGTGATTTCTGGAATAGGCCCGGCGAAACCTCATCACTTTGGATCTCAATTCTTTTCTCGATCCTCCATATCGCTGCTACTTCTGCTACAGTCTGGAGAGATATCGAAAAGATCAGGGTTGGGTTTGCAGAAGCCGCTGCTCAGTGTCTTGCTCTAGGCGAATATTTTCTCCCCAAACCTTTTGCGATTGAAGCACTATTACTCTACACACAGTCACAGTACATCACTTCTCTTGAAATCCCGCCATTTATGGGATCTCTGCTTAGCATCATCGTCCGTCTTGCCACGACGGCGGGTTATCACAGGGAGGATGGTGCATCCGGCCTGAGTCCTTTCGCGAAGGAGATGCGTCGTAGGACTTGGTCCGTATGTGTGCAACTTGATCTCCTGATTTCCTTTCATATGGGACTCCCGAGCAGTGTTCAGTTCTCGGCTTGGAACATCCAAGCGCCAAACAACCTTCTCGACTCCGACTTCGATGAGGATAGCGTTCAATTACCTACCGCCCGACCAGACACCGAGTTTACAGGTGTTATATTCTGTATCTTGAAACACAGATTCATGGGGGTTTTTGAGAAAATTCTCCAACAGGTACTACTTACTGGCACCCCAAAGCCAACGAATGACGATGTCGACCTCTTAGACATTGAAATCAAAACCATCTATGATACCTTGCCAGATATCTATCGAACACGACCTCTTAATAGCTCCGTAATTGATTCATCAAAACTTATCGTCACCCGTCTTTGCATCTCAACCATTTACTACAAATGTCTCTGCGTCTTACACCGCCCCCATGTATCGAAATCTCGAGGCAACAGCATCAGGGAGTGCTATGTCGCGTCAACTGCTCTCATACGGATCATTACAGATGTCTACGCTGAATGCACAACTGGCGGTCGACTAGAAACAGAAGAGTGGTTTATGAAGAGTATCACCTGGCGCGACTTGCTACTTGGTACAAGTACTCTCTGCCTCGTTCTATGTGCAACTAATTGGAAGCTGGATGAAAGCCCGATGGACAGGCCCGAGACTCTAGCTCTGCTGGAAACTGCCAGAGCAGTGATTCAGGCTGAGCAAGCAAGGTCCGAGAACAAGGACAGCTCTAGCGTTCTATCAATCATCGATACCGCAATCTGCGAATTCAGAGACCAGCAAGATGAGCCTGTCCCGTTACCAACGAGCGTTGAAGAAATGTCTTATGATCGGACGCGTTGGAACTGGGAGAGCAGTGAGAATGGTGTGTCAAACGACTTTGAATTGGTTCACTTTAGCGGGTTCATGGGTGCTTCTGACCGCCGTTTGTAAGCTTCCTTCAAAGCAATGCGTAGCTTTGCACAATGTGACGTTACTAATGTGGATGACTACACAAGACACCTCGGGGCCTTAGGTAGCTCGAGAAATTAATAGCAAGAGACCAAATCTCACTGGCTCCTAAAAAAAATTCTCTCATGTTCCTTCTCCATCCCAAGTTTCTATGTATTTGTTCCTGCGCTATGTGTGTCGGACCAAGGGGAAGCTATTCCCATTCCCTTATGTGACATCATACTCGCTGAAATCTAGGATCAAGCCCATCAGTTTATCAGGAGCGACTAATATTATCAGCTCCTCCGGAGAGAGTTTTGATAGAAAGTTAAAACAAAAGAAGAAGTCAGACCCAATAACTCAACACAATGAATACAAAAGGTTAAAAAAAAAAAGCTTTGCTAGCCCAAGGCTGCAGTTATACAGCAGAAAATTCTGTAAACCTTCATGCTGATAACTCGCTTGCTGTCAGGACGAGCTGCGTGTTGAATGACTACTAAAGCTGCCCTCTTCACCTGGCTTCCTTCGTTTGTCTTGTATCCTTCGCCGACAGGGTAAGAATTAGTTAAAGTTGTTTATTAGTATTGGAGCCAGTACTTATACGCCAATCTATACACTTTAACCGAGTGCGAATCTTTTCAGCAGCTAACCCAGTGAGTATCAGTAGCCCCTTAGCCAGAGTACTAATACTGATACGCCCGCAGCCTTCGCTGTTTATCCCGACAGTTAAGATATATATATTATGATAAAGAACGGGATCTTAGTACCTTCTCTTAAAGGTAATAAGATCACCTGGTATAATATAATAAAGCCTAAGCCTGATACCAGTAATCCGAAGCTTGCAGGTTTTACGAAGGCTATTAAGATTAGTAAACTTGATTAAGATAATCTTAATAACCTCTTTGCAGAGTAGGTTAAGGCTATATATAATTTCAGCTAAGATATCCTTGGGCGTATACCCGAGGATGAACTCGATGCTAAGGTTATCTCGGTATTAAGAAGCAAGGGATTAGAATAGTTCTAATTCCTCGTGGCTAAGGCAGGGTTATTCAAGCAGAATACTATCAATAAGAAGAACAAGTAGGGCTGCCTGCGATGGTACCAGAAGGGAGGAAAGGACGTAGAAGAAATCAGGGTTCAGCAGAGGATAGCCTTAATAAAAAAAAAAAGCTTTTAAACCTTTAACACAATGAAAGATTATCAGCTCCTCAAGCGGTAGATTCAGCCATTGAGTTTCCAAAATATCATAGACACCCAGTGCTTTCAAGAGCGTTTGTGGTTGTTTTGTCTCCACATTTCCTCGGCCGGTAATTCCGGCGCTTATGCCGTCTTATTCAAATTGACCCATCACTGCCTCGGCCGCTTATCCCCAGCGTGCATACAGATCCATGGACGCAGTTCCGACACATCAAACCTCAAATTTCATGAAATTGGTTATGTCCGAAGATAGTAAACACCCCCCACGAGAAATGGGCCAGGAACGTTCGGCACGCCACCGCAAGGAACAATACTCCAGACATACTTGCCTTGAAGAGCCGTAGTTGTATAAGTTCATGTGCGGCCCCGGGCGTCAACCCTTGCGATATGAACTTCGCTTATGTCGGTCTGTACTCCTTTGTGACCGGGTTTGAAATTTCGGGCACTGTGGAACAGCCAGGACCTCTCTCCTATTTTAAGGCTGGAGATAATGTTTGCGGGCTTGCCCCAATAAAGCTACCGAAGGCGTCCTCTACGGGCTCTCACCAGGATCTCTGTATTGCCGATAGTGAGCTGTTGTACACCTTGCCTCGCGGCCTAGACGTGAAAGACGCTGGTGGCCTCGTTATGGCTACTCATACCGCCATCGATGGTCTGTTCATATATATTAATATAATATAAAATAAATATAAAGCTAGATTAAAAAAATAGTTTTAATAATTATTTCTGTTATTCTAATAATAAATAAGTTGTTTATATAAAAGTTTATAAAGTTTTTCTAATATATAATTATATCTTTAATAATTAAAAAAAAAACTATATTTTTAAACTTTTATATTTATTATATTAAGTTATTAAGCTCTGGCAGTTTTATTATTATTAAACTCTATTCTCTTTCTCTTCCGTATAATATTATAATATTAAAATTCTATAGTATGAAATCCGACAGGTGGCGACTTACTGTGATACATGCTGTAATATATGACCACCTCAGTGACAATGGATGATAATCAGTGGGACCGGTGCTGCGCTTTAGCGGAGGGAATGCATACACGAATCATTAGCGGTGCACTCATATCCAAAGTCCCGTTTCTTGAAGCTGACTCTCGGCAGTGATGCACACCTAAAAATAAAATACAGAATCATCATGGCTCCCCGCCTTTCCCTCGTCAATCTCCTCGTCCTCTCACCATTACTCATTACTCACCCTCTCAGCAGTTTCTATCACCAACTCAACTCGATTCAATCGCGAATATGGGCAACCGCAATCGCAATCGCTCCAAGCAAAAGCGCCCGCGACTCTCCAACGCTCCACCTGAAATCACCAGCCATATTTGGAGTCTCCTCCAGACGTCGGACCTGCGCAACGTTTGCCTGGCTAGCAAATCCCTTCGTCGCTCTGCCGAGTCTACTCTGTATTCTGCCATCACCCTTAAGTGGAACCACGAGCTGGAACCCCGGATCATTACTCTCCTCGAAACACTTCTCCGCAAGCCAGAGCTTTTCGACTGTATCCACGCCCTCTCGCTAGATGGAGATGAATTCGTCGGCGATGAGGATCCGCCCCGGGCTCTGACGCCTTCGAGGTCTGCAGTTGCCAGCTTTACCCAGGCCATTCAGAAGCTCAAGACGCCAATCACCGGCCTCTGGGTGCGAATGCTCAAGGCAGGCAGCATGGATGCCTTTGCTGCTCTGCTGATTGCACGCCTTTCCAGGCTTCGCCGTCTGACCATCACTGGAGATTACATCCGCCGGCTTGATCTGGTTGGCAAAGTCCTGCAGCTAAAAGTCGGCGGCCAGCTGCCCAAGTTTGAACAGCTCAGGCGACTGGTCTATTATCATGGCCTGGATTACTACGCGCCTGCTCCTCCACACAGGTTTAATGAAGTGGTGGGCCTATTTCATCTACCAACCGTGACGCACCTGGCAGCTTGGATGGGCAATTCGCAGGGTGGCGCTTTCAGCTGGCCCTCAGGTAAACCTGACCTTGGCCACCTGACCTCTCTCGACATTGAGGGGTCTCGGGCAGCCACGATGGCTGAGATACTACCCCTCGCTCGGAACCTAAAGTCGCTCTCATGGAGGTGGGAATATGCCCCTTGGACTGACGATCATTTGATGACGAGAAAGCTTGACCTTGACGAGGTCATGATGGCTCTATCACACATCAGAGATTCCTTGGAGAGACTGCAGTTCAGAATCACTATCCATACTACCATGCATGATGGGGAAGATAGGATGAAGGTCTCGGGATCCTTCAGCGGTCTTGCTGACTTTGACCGAATATCCCACCTCGACGTACCATTAGTATGTCTTGCCGAGTTTGGGCCTGAGCCTCGGCCCTTGAGCCGCCATATCCCCCGCAGCGTTGAGACGCTTTCCCTCTCGACCGGAATGTTCTCCAATGATGCGGTGGAATGGATCTCGGGCAACGACGGACCAGCGACACAGGATTTTCTACAACTACTTCGAGGCTTAGCCGATAGTCGTCCTACTAGTCTGCCACGACTACGTTGCGTCGAGATTATTGACGAGGATAACGATTGCTTAGAAAATAAAGAGCTATCTATTTATTTATATAATAATAACAAAGTTAATTTATCCTATCTGAGATAGGGGGTATCTAAATACAGACTAAATCCGTATAATATAATTATATCGTAGAATTATCTAGAAAAACCGTATCTGTATTATAATAAGTAAGATAAAGCTTAAAGTAGATTATCTCTCTATACTAATAAGTATAGCTAATCTTATATTAATATATTAGAATTAAGACTAGTAGGAGAAGATAGAGAAGCTTAATTTATAGATAATAGAGATAAATAAGATAAAGCTTAGAGCAGATTATCTCTCTATACTAATAAGTATAAATAACTTAGCTTATACTTAGAACTCTATAGAGAAGAAAACTAAAGCTATAGACTTAATATAAACTTATATTTACTTTATAGAGATAAAACTAGGAGTAGATTATCTATATATATAATTATTACTTTTAGCTCTAGATAGTTAGTAAAAGTAAATATTATATAGTATAGTATTATAATAATATAGTCCGAAATATATAGCTCTATACTAAATTAATAGTCTGATTCTTAAGATTATATATATATATAAAATAGTACCCTGAAGGGTCTTAACTAAACCTTAGATAACTTTAGCTGTAGTTCTGGAGTAGGCTATAATATAGGGGTACCTATTTATAGGCTAAGTCTAAGAAATAGAATAAAGAACTACTTTAGCTCTAAGTCTTAATTTATATAGATTTTATATAAAGTATATTTTTATAGCAAATAGTACTGTATGGAGTATCAGTTGACATTCAGAGTATGTTTAAAAAGAGGAAGCTGGTTATGCTCCAAACTGCCCAAGCGCCAGGTTGTGGCACTTCTAAACCTGTTTGTTAAGGGTGAGGCGGGTCGAGGCAGTCTTGCATACCCAAAAGTACGGGTTCCTTATGTCTACAAGGCATTTTGCAGGAGGTTTACAAGCTTGGATGGTCTCCTATTATCCCACACTTGCCAAGTATTCATAACTAGTTTTCGTAAGTTTTCTTCTGCTTGCTCAATTGTCCTGACTTTCGCATCAGTACAGTGTTCCCAGAAGTCTGGGCGAGAAATGCCAATGGTGCCTTGGATTGGTCGACTACTTACTCATCTGCAATACGTATGGCTGCATCCTGACTCATAACTTGATATCGGCATATTATTCCTTGGCCCAAACAATGGTTGCAGGAACACTTGTGATTGCACTATCAAGATTTATTGATTGCGTCGTATGTTCATTTCGGCTCATTCTCAGGCACCTTTCTCTTCAATTGATGGCATCGAAGTCAGGATAGAATGGCGCGATGCCGAGAATCCTCCAGCTGTCGTGTTGCCATGATTAATTAATCTCCTAGCCCACAATATGGGGCAATGAATGAGATGGAGATTTGTGGTAGTGAATCGCTCAACCGAACTTTGACCGTGTACAACTCCCGTTACATGGGGCAAACTGCAGGGTCATGAGATGTGGGCTTGACGGTATCAAGAGTTGGGAGGAAAAAGAGAAAAAATAAGAGGGGGCCCGGCGTTAAGTGGGTTTAAAACTAGTAGAGACAGATAAATACACGCGATTGGATTCTTCGCTAAAACATGAGGGGGATGCTGAAAGGTTAGCCGTTATTGCAGCCAATGGCTGGTATACTTAATACTAGACTATATGCCCTAGAAAGCCCTGCCTTTTCCCATTCTAATGGTATACTTCTTGTTTCAATTGACCCTTAATTGGCTGTGAAATCCGGCTTCAAAAATCATGTGTTGGACTGACGATGTGCCTGTCTGACCAGATTGACCGGAACTTTTGTCGACCCACTGTACATTTTTTACCTGCAACTCGCATTAGTTCATTCTTCGTCATGTCTGAACCTTGGAAGAAACTTATACTATTTGCCTCGTACAGGAGCTGACCAATCGAATTGTAGTATTGAGGCAGGCTTACATAATTTGTACGGGTCCGTCAAATTTTGGAGGCAAGGGTACCCGTGCACATAGGGGCAGCCTTAGAGACTCTTTCCTGATTTCTCTCCGATGTATTCTGGGATTGCTTGTGCATAATCACCGTCTTCCACGTAGCATGTGTGGCACGCATCTAGTTCACGGACTGCAAGATATCGTATGCAACACAGCATCATCTTAGAACGCGAGAGAGACGCAAAAACGGACGAAATAATTACCGCTTGCAGAAAGAAGCAAACACGAAGACAGGCGGCCCCATACTTCCCCTGTCAGAGGAGGAAGTCATACTCGATGCCGGGTGTTCCGTCATATCGTGGCTGTGACGAATGCCGCAGACACAAAAAGAAGGTGAGCACGGCTGTTGGCTCGGAGGATGCAAGAGTCATTGGCATCATGTGATGTGGCTAAATTTATTGAGGAAGTGTGATCAAACATCTACCGCCTGCGAGAGATGCTTGCGCCTTAACATGCCATGCGTGGGCAAAGGTCAGCTACGATACAAATTTGTATCCCAAACGGTGGGATGCCATCGACAGCACCAATGGAAAACATTGCCACAATCCCGTCCCGTCTCATGGATGCCGCCTCAAGTGCCCAGCAATGCAGCCGACATGCTCTCGGCCGAGTTTACTTCATTGTTGATCATTATGAATCTTAAGTATAATCTTGCTTGCTTCGGAGACTGGTTCGCCAGCATACCTATGCGACTCGGTGCTAATGAGGTCCTTGACGCGGCAGCCGATGCATTTATTCAAGGCTATGCTGCGTTAAGGGGACGCCGTGCTGGACGCATCGTGGAAGCCCTGTCTAAGTATGGGCATGCGCTAAGTCTACTGCGAAAGGCATTGCAAGATCTGGTTAAAGCAAAGTCGCCTAATGTGCTCGGTGCGATCTTCCTCCTTATAGTGTCACAGGTATGAAATATCCCTCCTTGAAGATTTCCTGTCTTGGAGCAAGTGTTAAGCATGTTCCTATCTTATAGAGCTGGTGTTCAAGGGAGCTGGAGATGGTGCGGACTAGCCATATGGACGGCATTGTATACGTGCTAAATGCTAGTGCGGGTGAAGAATGGAAGGATGAGTTGGAAGCAGGATTGCGCCTCAGCATGCTCTACGCGGCTGTAAGCACTGCCAGCCTCTTTGTTTACACCTAACTGACGGGTTCTCCAGTCCTTCGAGGCAATCACCAATCCAGCCTTCAACATCGATCCCTGGTACCGTTCATTCCATAATCCCGTCTACGGACCCCACTGCTCCCTTGGCAGAGATCTCATTCAAGCTGTCCGGAGTCTTGACTTTCTTGTCACAATGAACATTCCGAAGTTCATCCGCAAGCCAGAGCTCTACTCCAATGAGCTGCATGCGATATACCAACGCCTGCTGCTGGAAAAACCTTTTATTATGAAATGTATACCTGCAACAACTGAGACTGCGGATTTGGAAGATTCTCATTGGGCCGACAATGATGGCGGGCGGGTACAGTTGGAAGGGCGGTATATATCACTACTTTGCTACGCCCTGATTCTCAATGCATTTCTTTCGGCGCTTAATCCCCTAAACACTATATTATACAGCGAGGCAGTCGACCTTGCCCGGGAGGCTGTGAGAATCTCCAACGTTCTGGCTTCTCATGTTCCCAGCAGCTGCGCCAAGCTTATGCCTGCCGGCTTGTTTGCAGCGTGGTTGGCTACAAATGAAGCGGAGATTATTAGCGGCATTCAAGACACGCTTGCGAAGCATGAAGTCTATTTTGTCGATGCGAATTATCTGCGTCGGTTCGACACACTGAAAAAGCAGATTCGGGGGCTTAGAGAGAAAAAGTGGGCGGCTATGGAATCAAGCCTTATGCTTGACGGATGTTGGGATATATCTGCTGCTTTTGGGCTGAAATAAAGTAATTCATGTGGGTGTCAACAACTTCTAATATAATTAATCATTGATGATTCATTGCCATCAGGAAAGGTAAAGCCGTTTTCTGAAAGAGGCAGGGTTTAGCTTTTAGCGGAGCATTCGGACTTAGAAAAGTTGATATTTGATGTCATGGGGTCTGCTACTTTACTAAGCACATAAGCGAAAGCACTTGGCACCACTGCAGTAGCGTGGTGGCCTAGAACTGTGCAGACTGACGCAAAGGTTAATGCACATTAGATGACGAAGGTAAACTAACTATTTTGTTTGCACCTCGTAAAATACATCTCGTTTTGCAATATAATCGTCGCCCATCAACTGTGTTGAGGCATGAGCAGGCTGCCTGGAATATGTATATGAGAGAAGGAAGTGTTGTTGAATTTTAAATTATGAGTTCGTCGTACGAAGGTAAACATAGTAGGGTGCATGGGATCGTTGTTCCGGTGCCGGTGGCACATGTGAATAAACTGTGCACACAAGCGCCCGTCTGACACATGTCTTGACGCCACAATGCGTACGAAACACCAAGTCTAACTAAGGTGCAATAAGAAGTAGTAATACAACGAGATATACTCCGTGATTGGCCTCTAATCCTTTTCAGGAATGCTCAGACCTTGCTGAACATGACAAGTGAGGTCCCACGGTCCACAGTCCGCCTTGCAAAATGTGTCTCGGTCCGGAACTTTGCCCGTATCGAAATAGTCGGCCAACACTGATCTAGTACAGTTACTTGGGGACGACTGCAGCGCGCAGTGGCCAATTCCCTCCTGTGTCACCACCCGAGCGCCTGGATGCCCCGCGGCCATCTTGCGAGCCGCCCGTAGAGGTGTCACAGGATCCAACTCGGTGGACAGGAAGAGCAGCGGTGCCGCAGGGATACCCGGGAGAAGTTTCGAGTTTGCATTGGGACTCGTAAATGGGCCGTTAAAGAGCCAACTGGCGCGGACGGGCCAGGATGAGCACAGCAGACGCGAGGTTACCCAGTAGTGGCCGAGGAGCTTGGATATGGCCTCTTGTTGTTTCGCATAGCGCATCCAATATAACACCGACTTGCCTGTGACGTCCTTCCCGTCACCACAGAGAATGGCATATTGCTGATCGATTGAACTGAGATCGACCGGCTGCAATTGTGAGTCGGTGCTGTTGCGGAATAGCGGCAATGGGTTACGCCCAACTGCCAACTGGAAAAGCTCAGTCTGGTTGCCTGCCATCGCCCGGTGCAAGGAATTGGCGATATTGCGAAACCCTGGAATAGGGTTGTCGAATATGTCGCCTACAGATCTGCGAACATCATCACCCGTCAGCACCGCAATGTCGCCTGTGGGTCCCTCAACGCTCTGTGGTTGCTCGTCGAGATTCTTGACCCAAGACCAGAAGCGCCGACTCGCCGAGGATATGTCTGTATCATTCGCTAAGGGGCATACAGAGACTCCGGCTTTGAAGCAGCCTTTCCAGAAGCGGTCGAGGATTTCGTTATCATCGATTGTGTTACCGAGCCAACCCTGCCACTAGTTTGTTAGTTTATGTCACAGATCTAGTACTTTTCAGGTAAGCAGTAATGACGCACCGGATCACCGTTGGCGTAATCATTAGCATCTGTTACACCATCAACAACAATTCGTCCCACACGGCCGGGAAACATGGAAGCGAAGTAATTTCCCAGAGCGGTTCCATAGGAGAACCCAATATATTGCAAACGAGGCAACTTTCCGTCACCGTTCAAGATTGCCACATCCGTCATTGATGTTCCAAAGCTTGTATGGGTTGTCTTTTTTGCAGTCGGATTGTAAAGTTGATCGATTCGATCGATAATTTCAATCATATCCCGCGCAACGCTAGGAGTATTGACGAATGGCAGTATCTCTCCATATTTGGCCTCTGAAGAGAGGCAATGGCGAGAAAACATGTCGTTCATGGCTAACGTATAGGCCATGGCGCTCTGGCTCAAATGGCCATGGCCCGCGCCTGTCAGGCCGCCAATGCCTCGATACTCTAGCATCCATGCGCTCCGTGCGAGGGGGTCATGGAAGCAATCCGCGGCTGGTGTAGTGTAGCCAACACCACGGGGGTCAAACGACACAATCTCGTAGTGTCGACGGCCCGGCTTGTCAATAATTCGCTGCAGTGGCAGAGCGAAATCCTCGGCGAACTGTATCCCTGAGCCAGCCGGACCTCCGGGGTTGGTTAAAATGCTTCCACCAAAGGTCGAATCATCGTGAGGGACGACCGCTGGAAGAGTGCGAATGGCGATTGATACTGTTCGAGGGTCCGAAGTGTTGTGCCAGTCCAACGGTACTTCAAGGCGGGCGCATTTGAAGGTTGCATAGCAAGAATGATAAACAAGATGCTTTGTTGGCTGGATGCTAGACCAATCAAAATTGACCGTATCATCTGCCAGGACACCCAAGGCGAAGGCAGAAGCAACGAGTGAAAGGGAATAGTATATAGACGGCATGGTGGCTAGTAGTGTAAGCCAAGCAGAGAGTTACTTAGGAGATTGAAAAGAATAGTTTGCGAGGACAATCAAACAGATTGGGGAAGGAAGTTAAATACTTTCATTATCGCACAGCCTTGCGCTTACAGCCGCGTGTCTGTGCTGCCTCCATATCCCTTCGTTGAGATATAGTTGAACACCAAGTGCACAAGGCAGGCATATTCAAAGTTATGAGGACAACATGGTCAAGACACTAATTAACCACTAGCAGAGGTTTGTTGAGTAATCGAAATTAAAACAGTGCGTCAGCAAGGCTTGCGCCACAGTCTGAATCAACGCATATAACCAAATTATTAAAATCTCTGTGGGGCAAAGTCTGACTAAAAATATGACCGAATCGATGCCTATAACCAGATTATTGAAATCTCTGTGGGGCAAATTCTCCTAAAACTTAGCTGAATCGACGCATATAACCAAATTATTGATAATGTGAAGCACGAAGTGCATACAGGCGAATAGTTACCTTTCCGCTCCGGGGCCGCCCGGCGTTAACAAACCGAGTGCATAGATGAATGTATTCGCCGACAATTGTGATGGTTCCAACGCATCACTACCAGGCCCTTAATGATACAATACAATACAATTTATTACACCCGGCGACGCTGGAGCCTAAAGGGCACTAATTACCTTTTTTTTTTTTTTTCTTCCGGGGGTTCTCTCTTTCGGAGGTCTTTTGTTTGACGTTACGAAGGAGGTACCAGTATCATTATGGCGCTAGCCAATGCCGCCGGCGTCACCTAAGGTCAGCAACACATATCAATTATGTTGAGTTTTCGTGGAATCTCAATAATCAATTTAACGGTACCACGGTTTGAATTCCCTAATCGGGCAATTAAAGGCAGCTAGCCACACGACCCAAATCTGACATTGGATCCAGACGTAGTATCTCGTTAACCATAAGCAGCAGCTAGCCAATTCCCGCACCCACAGATCCAGTTCGGCTGAGTTTAGTAAGGCCCTGTTCTCTCGTCGCTCCTAGATTATGCTTCAATCATTGGTTCTCGCGTATAGATCCAATGCTCCACCCCAAAAGCATCTCCTAACCATCTCGTCGTGGTGGCACGTCGCAAACCTTGTCGAGATGTGCCGACAGATGTTTGTTTGGAAGCTGCTGGTGAAAAAGTTTGGGCTCCGTCGTCACACTTTACAGGATCCATCGTGGCTCAGCTAAGGTCATCACCATTCGCGGACACGCGGTTTCGTGGCATACTCTGGTTGTTTCGCGCTCTTTTCCGCCCGCGGCCGTACACTCGGTTGCGGCCGTGGCCACTTGGCCAAGAAGCATGCGACAGTTGGGGCGGGTGTTCCACCAAAGAGGCACGATTTCCTCGAGAAAGCAGGGGTATAATATTTAGGATTAAAAGAGACAACTAGTATTAACGGGGCTCGCATTTCAAGGGCTGTTAAGTGGGAGTGAGTTCTGTGCTTTTACTGATGACTAGCATGGCCAAGGCCACGCGTTCAGTTGCGCCAACCGCAAAGCCACTGGATTGTATCAAAAGTCCCTTAGTTCACAATCAGCGTTTCCCAACTGGAGCTGGTTTCCTCCAGGACCTCACGGTTACACGGTAATCGTAGAGTGCTCTCGGCATAAGAAGAGCAAGATACCAAGCTCGCAGTCAGACTCAGTATCTCCTAATTCAGTCCATCAACTTTCATTACCGCTACAATGGCCACAACAACGATTTCCCAGGGGTCGCATCTGACCTCAACCTCCTCTACCGTCATGGTCAGTTGCACTACAGCAGTACCAGGGGCGTACGGCTACGTGCCATTCGACCCTAATACCTGCAACTCCAACTATCAATTTTATCCAAGCTTCACTGGCAACCTTGCCTTTGCCACAGTTTTCGGATTGAGCACCATTGCCCACTTGATCGAAGCAATCGCGTTTAAAAAGGTCTGACATCTATCCCCAGTAAATCCAGGGAAGGAGACATTGCTGATCAAAAGAAAAGAAATTCTGCTGGGTGGTCATTATGGGAGGGGCCTGGGAGACAGGCGCATTCATTGCACGAACACTCGGCTCCCGTGACCAACAAGAGGAACAGTTTGCCCTTTGGGGCCAGCTTCTCTTCATTTTGGCACCACTTTGTTCGTTACATTAACGAATGACACCTAAGATTCCGCTGCTGACCGTTGAATTAGGGGTGAATGCCTTTGTGTATATGACAGTCGCGCGAATGGTACATTTCGGACTTGCCGACAAGCAAATATGGAATATCAAGGCGACCAAGCTGACCGTCATCTTCGTTTGGATCGATGTCGTCTGCTTTCTCGTCCAAGCTGGAGGGGGTGGCATGCTGTCAAATAAAGACGACCCGAACATAGCCAGACTTGGTATAAAAATATATACAGCTGGGGTGGCGATACAGATGACGTTTGTCATTATCTTTGGAGCCATGACTGCATGGTTCTATCGCAGGATACATCAGGTACCTCGCTGCAATAACGGCCGAATGAAGGGTTTAACATTGGTGACGTTGGCGGTATTACTTCTTATTATGGTAAGTTTGAAGACTCAGAGACTTTGAACAAACTCATGGCGCGTCAAGTCACGGCTAACTTCAGAGCATCACAGGTTCGAACCGTTTATCGCTTGATTGAATTCGGACCCGGCCTCAATGCGGACAACCCCCTACTAACGAATGAAATTTATCCCTTCGCCCTCGATGCGCTTCCGATGATCTTGGCGCTGACAATGCTGAACGCGATGCATCCTGGCTTCGTTCTACGTGGGACGGATAGCGAGTTTCCCTCTCTCGGCCGAGCGGAAAGAACAGCTATGCGAAGGCAAAAAAAGAAGGAACGCCAACAGTCAAGGGCTACCAACAGTGCTCGCAAAAACAGAGAGTACATCCGTATGGAGCATATCGGGTAGCAGACTAGTCTAGATATTAGGACATGTCCAACTGCGATTCATTTCCCTATTTTGATTGGCATAGGATTCTAACTCGGCAATCGTTACGGTGAGTTGTGCCGTCGCTCTCGCCTTGCAAGTTCTCTGACGGTGCATTTGAGGCCTTTCAAGAGAGAAACGACCAGGCTAAGGATGAAGCGGGGAGTGGAAGGAAATCGAACTCAAGAGTTCGGAAATATGGAACAGCTTTGGTCAAGGTGGAGCCTACTGTAGTGATCTCGCTGGAGCCTTCGCAGACGCAAAGGTTTGTAGCAAAAAATCATTCATTCTAGCTACCTACTAATCCTGTACAGTACAGGATAATTGCCTCCTAAAAGAATCATCCCTTGTTTCAACATGAAGCTGCCCTAATTTTAGTCATTTTACTTGACCTGAAAAGTTCGTATCACATAGCCCAACTGTCTCTCTCGGTGGTGGGTTCTTCGTAAATCATTACCCGTAGGCGCGCGCATAACAACCACTCTGTGCTCCTCTTTGGAGTGCAAACGGCTGGCATCTTCCCTCCCTTTCTTATCACGAGAAGAGCCTCCTGTGAGCGTAGGCACAGTCTCAGTTTCCACTTCTAAAGCCGTCCCAAATTGCTTACTAGAACCTCGCATCGGCACCTTAAGGGACCCCAGATATCTCCTTATGCGGGGCAGACTGAAGTCGGGTAGGTGCTCGCTAGTATTGGTGATATAGGTGCGTGCTTCCAGTTACGGGACCGCGTTTGTGAATTGGTGGGATTCAATCCTACCTTCTTGCCTTCTTCTCAAATATCTCAAGGACAGTATTATTGCAGGCAGCCGCTGCTATATCAATCGCCGTCTGCTGCTTGTCGTTCTCCATCATCGGATCCAACCCCGCAGCCGTCAGCTCCTGGAAGCGTATCACGTCCCCAGACGCTGCAACGTGTAGTAGCCCTCTACCCTTATTATCCTTTGCAAAGAAATCAGCGCCCAGTTCCTTCAGTAGTGCTATAGCCCCCTGCTCTCGCGGAACCTCATACTCATCGCCTCGAATTTTTCGCTTCGTGTAGTCCCGGTCGTCTGGGCCTTGTGGGAATCGGGAAGCAAAGTTGAATAGCGGCGTCTCACCAGACGTATCGCATCCATTGATGTCCACCCCACGACTGACGAAATCTCTAAATAGCTCACGAAGTCCAGCCGTACCAAGATCTCTTGCCAGCATGTGCAGCACACTCTCGCCGTGCTTGTTCGTCACTAAAGGGGATGCGCCGGCTGATAGCAGCCGATAAACCGTCTCTGTATCGGCCGCTGAATCAACAGCCCGACGCACAGCATACATCAACGGGGTATTGCTGTCAAGGTCGGCTTCATGTACCAGCTCAGGTGCCAGGGTGATGATATGCTCCAAAGTTGCTCTCCATTCAGGCGAGGTAGTCCAACTGAAGCTGTTGAGGAGGGATATAAGAATGGTTCGACCACGCTCATCTCGAGTAGTAAGATCAGCGCCAAGAGTAACTAGGCGCTGAAAAACAGTTTCTTGTGGTCCATCAGTTGTCGAGTTGTGGGTATTAAATGGCCTAGTGACCAAGTCACCGATTGCGCAGGCAGCATGCAGAACAGTAAGTCCCTCTGGATTCTTGTAGTTGACGTCGATTCCAGAAACTAGGAATGGTTGAATTTGGACGTCTGTGACTCCAAGAAGGCCGTGCAGCAAGGTCTTTTCGCAATATGTCAGATTCTCGTCAAGAGTAAATGCGCCCTGCATGAAGTGAATGCGCTTGCGATTTGACCAATAGTCGTAGTCATCGCTCTCTTCCTGGATGATGAAGTAATTCGAGAGCGGGTTTGCTCCGCGATCTATGAGGATTCCAATCATCTCAATAACAATGACATTGTCAACGGTCGGACTCCATATGCCATCGTCTGGATGTGGTTTCCGGAATAGCATACCTGCTGCACGTAGCGCTGGATCTAGGTCCAACTCGAGACGTTCTCCATCATCGTCTATTGTTTTTAAAAGCTCGCGGAGTACGTCGACCTGACCAGCTTCGACTGCTGATACGACATCATCAGACGAAACCTTGGCTCCGTGCTTGATTAGCAGTCGGACAATTTGGTCGTTGTGCTTGGCTAGGCTGAGGCAGCTTTCCCCCGTCTTTGTTACTGCGTGAATATCTGCTCCAGCCTTGAGCAGACGCTTCACCGAGTCGTAAGCATGGGGTCTAGACTTAAAGACGGCATTCTTGCCCCTGATTGCGACGTGGAGAGGTGTGAGGCCACCCTTAACCCGGAGATTTATGTCAATTCCTGGTACCTTGAGGAGGTACTTTAAGGCATGGTGGACATGCCACCAGCAGAAGCCTTCGGCAACATAGTGAAGAGCTGAATCATTATATACAAGGCGCCGCTCGTCATCGGTGTAGTCTGAATCCCATGTCCTCTCGTTCACGTCGACATGGAAGTCCTCCACCAGCAATCTGACAACTCCGAAGTTAGGAAGCTCGCGCTGGACTGCTTCCAAGAGGAAAGGTTTCGGTATTTGTTGCACATCTGACGTGTAGTGGTGCACGACTCTTCCCTCCGATTGATTTTCGTCCTCCGGTCTGTTGGCGCACCACAGCCCTGCTTTGGAGCTATCGTTAAAGGCATGCCAATCGCCTTGCCCAAGCGCACGTTCCGCTTCAATCGCTCCAATCCTTTTGACTAGGAGGGTGAAACCGTGCTGGACTAGCAGGGCAAAGTGGCTGGAATGGTACCGCTCCCGGGGATCGGGGAGGAATCTCGTCCCCCGCTTAGCAAGCTCTTTGACAAGTTGATACTGTCTTTGTCTGCCTTGTGTTAGATCTTGAGACAGGCGGTGATTTCGAAAGGTCTCTCTTACCGTAAAAATAGCGAGAAATTATAGATGTTCGGTTTTCCAGCCTCAACTGGTGGGAAGCTTTCCACTTTGGCGAGTGCAGGGTCATACGCAGGGGCACTGACGGCAAGGAAGCCCGAGTAAGGAGCTGACTTGCCTGGCTCGACCCAAAGCGAATGGGGGACTTGGTCGATAAGACAGCTGGCTGTATATGCCTTGCCTTGCCATACACAGTCACCTATAACCCCACGGTCAGAGGAGTGCTTCGACGGTCCGAGCCCAGACGTGTCAGCCCCATGGTCAACCAGCAATTTCGCAATCTCCTCTAGTCTTCTACTGTCCCCAGTAGAAAACTCAGTACTTGGGGATTTATTTAGATAAGATTCCTCATGTGTGTTTGAAAAATCGACCCTGATCTCCCTCTGAGTCAATGGATCAAGCTTGGTATGGCGTGTTGCGTTGCGAAGTGCATTTTCGTCTTCAAATTCACTGCAGGCTTTGAACACGTAGCCACCTATGTGGACGTCCGCTCCCGCTTCGAGTAGAATGGACACAGTCTCCGTTCTGCCAGTCCGGATAGCATAATAGAGCGGGGTGAGTCCGTTTATATCTTGGGCATCGATTCCATCGATTTTGCTTCTGTCACCATTCTCGTTCGGAAGAGGTGTATCTGGATCCGCGCGCGATTTCCGGCGTGATGACTCATGCAGCGAACGCACGAGCATACCGACAATGTTGCTCTCTTGTGCCTGAGCAGCAAGATGCAGTGGTGTAAGATCTTCAACAGTAGTAGCTCGAGCATCGAGCCCGGCCTCCAGGAGTTTCTTAGTACAATATTCCGTTCGAGTCGACGCGACGTGCAAGGCTGTTAGGCCGGCATGATCTTTGACATCGAAGTTTCTCATTCGCTTGATGAGGAAATCAATAGGCTCCGGATCTTTAACATGACGTTGGGCGTCTTGAGGATACGAATCACACAGAACGTGAAGTGGCGTGCGGCCCGAATACTAAACATTCATGAATTGCTTAGCAAATCTCTCCTCTATGAGAACATTTACATTTGCGAAGAAAAGAACTCACATTCTGTTGGTCAACATCCAGACCAAGGGTATCGACAAGTCGCTCCCAAAGCGGAAACACCCACTTTCGACTATATGCGCTCGTTGAACCCTCTCTGGCTGCGAGCTCGTGGAGAAGTGTGTTACCGTCGTGATCAACGATGGTATGGTCAAGGCCGATGCCCAGTAAAAAGTCGAAACTTTGCGTGTTCTCTTTATCATCAGAGGCAGAGTCGACCATTTGCGTTTTGATAGCCTCATGCAGACAAGTCCTTCCTCTGTGATCTCGCAAGTGGGGAAGGGCTCCGTGGTCGAGAAGAAACTGAACAGGACTGCATGACTCCCTGTCATCAACATTCGACCTCGCGTTGGATAGCTGTGAGATCTCGTGCCAGAAGAGGGTGCGTCCGGTTCGATCCTGTGCATTGATGTCTGCACCCGCTGACAGCAGAAGATCCCATATCTTTTCAGCATCTTGGGACCTGAATGATAACATTAGGGCAGTTTCGTCTTTGCGATTCCGTCTATCCGGCTCAACACCGCTTTCAAGAAGCGCTTGGACAATATTCTTTTATTTTCCATTAGCTATTAAGCAGTGTACAATGTTGGACCAGTGATCTAGCCTACCGGTGTTGCGTAATAGGACTTGAGTGCTACATGAAGGGTGCTTTCGCCGGCCGAGTTGAGAACTCGGGCATCAGCGCCGCACTCTAAGATTAGCAGGACCTTGTATTCGTTACCATACTCACCAAGGGCCGCGAGAAGAGGTGTGTCTCCATGTACGTCTAGTGCGTTAATATCGGCGCCCTCTTCCACCAAGAGGGGGATGCAGGCTGGGACCTGGGAGTAATGAAGCGGTGTCTGGCCTTTTGAGTCCACACCCTGAGCCGAGACACCGTGTTCTATGAGAAGCCGGGACAAACAGTAGGACACCTTGACAGCAGAGTGCAGAGCAGTTGTTCCATCCTCCATCTGGCGATTGACATCGGCACCCGCCTTGATGAGAAGTGTGAGTATCTCATAGCAGTCGTCATCGTCCCAATCATGAGAAGATATCTCGAGATCCGGTACGCCACACAGCGCATGAAGACAAGTGTATCGAGCAAAAGAGCCATCTGGCTTCTTTCCTTTTTGTTCAAAACTCCCAAACCCCCGCACCCAAACCTCATTCAGACACTCCGGGTTAGCTCCAGCTTCAAGTAAGACCTCCACAGTAGCCAAATCCCTTGTTAAGCAAGCTTTGAACAGAGATGTGCTCCCATGGACCATGGCTTCGACCTCTACACCGGGCTGTGCCAACATGTGAGTAACTACTCTCGCTTGCCCCTTTTCCGCAGCCCAAGCCAAACAGTTGTGCATTGCTTCGAGATCAATGTACGGTAAGAATACGCCAACTGTCTCTACATGCCCGTGTTCGCATGCATGTGCGATGGCCGGTTTCCCGCTATCGTCACTCACTATTTCCATGGCTATGTCTCGATCGGTAAGGCCTTGTGGTGTGAAAGGGTCTACGCCAGCGTCTAGCAGCACCCTTACAACCGCGTGATGGTTCTTGCTAGCAGCTTCGTGCAGTGGCTTTCGCCCACTCAAGCCATCGCGATGATCTGGATCGGCGCCTCCGGCGATGAGCTCTCTCACCGTAGTAGCGTGGCCCTCATAAGCGGCCCACCATCTGTTGGTCAGAGTCAGCATACCTCTCCGTTGATGTCTCCTTTGGCACTCGATTGACAACTAACAGCGATGTTTTGCCCGTGATATCACATGCGTTCAGATCGCCAGACCAACCCGCCACCAGCTTCCTCGTATATGCCACAAGCCCGTATCTTCCTACGAGATGTAGGGCCGTGAACATTCGTGCGTTCGTTCCATATCCAGGCCAGGACACCTCGAGCCACGCCTTGATATTCTTATCAACACTGAGGAACCGCTCAAGGACCTCGTTGATCTCGTCTTGCTCATAAGACACAGCCTCAGAGCTTCGGATGTGAGCGTGCCAGTTACGAGTAGCATACACGAAGAAGGGAAATTTCATTCGCAGCTCAAGTACAGCCTCCGAAACATGTGTGGAATTTGGGTATTGGCAGTTCTCATCACCAAAACCCGGCTCCGTGTCGCTGTCATCGATATTAATCTCTATCTCGTCAAGGCAGCCTGTTATTAACAGATACCGCAGACATGATAGAGCAAGCTGGGCGTGAGCTGGTCCTGGCCGCAGCACTGGATAGCCGCCCTCATATTCAGATCGTGTAGAGCCTTTGAGATATTCGGTGAAGGAATGGTGAACAACAGACACTGTTTCGTCCGGTAGGATCTCAAGAAGCGGCCCACACGCTGTCCTCACAAGGTCCTTCATAGCCCTCAGGTCACGGCCAGTACCAACAGGATCGATCACCCTACACATCTCGGCGAGCTCTAGTAGTCGTAGCGGCTTCGTCGCATGCGTGACAGACTGGAGAATGAGGTTCTGGACGCTGGGCGATATGCCAGACCGCCTGGCATGTTCCTGCAAGAGCTCGGTATAGAGAACATTGAGATCTGCGGGAAGATGGGCCAATACGGCCTTGATATCCACACCTGGCTCGAGAAAGGCCTCCATAGCTAGCTTCGCGTATAGGAAAATACCGTTCGCCCGACCAGGGACAGCGTTTGCCACTTCACCCCACTCGCTTCGAGGAATATGTGACTCCGAGAGGGCAGAATTCACATAGGTCGAAATGTCAATATCAACGAGTCGCTCCTCAAGCCGGATATGTAAAGCTGGTGTCTGGCGGAGGGGGATCTCGATCCTTGGAACAGGTCGGCTCGATATCAAGACCTTAATCTTGGCGGGCTTCCACTGGCTAAGCGACCCGATGGTTCGAAGAAAGGCATCATTACCGGTGTCCATTTCGTCGAGAGCATCAGCGACACAGAAGACCCTGTCGGGCAGACCTCGAAAGGCCATCTGCAGATCCTTCAACAGATCATCAGTTGATAGTGAGCTTAACGACACTCCATCCTCAATGTATGTCCAGAGCCGACGTTGTAGCGGCGGGCTATACTGCAGAACTTGCTCCAACCAGTCTCGAAGAAGAGCCTGCGGATTATGGTTGGCAGCGATAATCTGTCGGAAAAAGAAGAAGAGAACTGGACAACCAGGGTTTGTCTTGCCTAGCTCATCAATCAATTTAGCCACGTGGACGGATTTGCCGGACCCGGGGATGCCTTTGATCCAGAGCAGACCAAGTTCCTCCCCTTGAAGCCATTGCCGGTACTGGTCAGTAGAGGTAAGCCATTGTCCGGTCCCCGGAGCGTGGGATGTGAGATGTTTGCGGAATTCGCCGCCAGCGACGGAGTACGAGGTTGGCTCGAGCCATTCTCGAATCTTTTTGATCTCGTCTGTCGATTTCGGGAGAATGTTGTCGGGATTGTAGTTGCTTACATCGTCCCGATCGATGATGATGGCGTCAGAATCGCTGTGGCTCTCGCTATCTGACATTGTGAAATATGTTATAGTTCAATGTCTTTGTCTGTATCACGATGTACCAGATTTTCTCTGTTCACTAGCTTGGACGATATTGGGATTTTGAAACTGTAATAGTCGGTGTGTAGCGAAAATGGGGG